CTCCCCCCCCCCGCCTGGGCGAGTGGTGCGGCCAACGGCGCGTCGCGCTCAGCCCCGGCCCGGAACAACGCGGCCAGAGGAGGCGGAGGCGGATGATGGCACTGCCAGGTGGGCACCTTGTTTGTGGGCAGCGGGTGGCGGCCCCTTCCGCGTGTCCTAACCCCCGGCCGAGCTGGGAGCGCCCTGTCCGCAACCTGGGCCGGGCCGCAGCCTAAGCTCTTGGATGCAGGGGCTTCCCCTCCGCGCAGAGTGCGGGGAGTTGTCCCCACCTGTGGGGCGTAGGGTTGCCAACCCTCCAGGATCGCCTGGGAGCCTCCAGGAATTGGAGAGTCACCCGGGAAACAAGTAATAGGGTGTTCTTTAAAATAAACATTAAATGTCGTGTCCAGGTTAGGGCCGTGGGTTTTTTTTTTTTTAAATGTAATAGTAATGTGCATTTACCTTCCTGAGTGCAGTACAGTAGACTGGTCATTAATGTCACTACATCACGTGAGAAAACCTCCCGGAATAGATTCAAACAGAGTTGGCAACCCGAAGTGGGGCATCGCCTTCCTCTGCCCGGCCTGGCCCTCTCCAGGGGTCTCCTGAGCGAGCACTGACTCCCTTTTACAGCAGCTGGATGTGGGTTGCTGCGTCTCTTGCTCCACCTGGGGCAGGTCAGGGTGCGAAGGCCGTGGTATGTCAGGGTTGAGCGCAGGCTTGTGCATGCACAGTTTAGATGTGGGTTTGTGCAGGATGGTTTGGGTAGGGAGGATCCTGCCTGTCAGGCAGGGGTTGGACTAGATGACCGACGGGTATAGTAAGCAGTCTAGATTATTTTCTGGTAATGTTTCAACTCATTTAAGCAGTCAGGCAAGAGCATCAGAAACAGTCACAAAGTGAACTGTAAGTCACTTTCAGAAGGCAAACGTTTCCCAGATCTGTACAGAATACCCCACCTGTCAGGGAAATAAGTTTTAATCACCAGGCAGAGCTTTGTAAGGGAAATGCTGTGGTTTTAAAAAGGTTTCCATGCTAGTTTATTGGAGGACTTGTTTCCTTCCTGCCTGTGTGTGGAGCTTTAAGTGGAGTACAGTTTGCACTGACTGGCCCGGCTCTTTAGGCCTGAAACTTATGTGCCGTGGCCTGGTGAACTAGGACAGCTGCAGAAAGATCTCTAAGCTGTAGGTTTAGTTTTGGAGTATCCTTCTCCTAGGTAGGTTCCCAAACCAGGGCTAAAGAGTTCCACCTGCCCTAGTTGTGAGGTTTCAGACAAATAGCGACCCAACCCCAATCTTTCACCTTACTGTCATGGGATACCCTACCAAAAAAAATTTCCAGACGGCATTGTTCTTGGGATCATCAGGGCACGCAAGCCTCTCCACCACAACAAGGAAGAGGAGTTTGTTGCTTCATAACAAATCAAACTCATTCTGCCTTCAGTGAAATTACTGCTGAGTGGAAGTATTGGCCACAATCACAATACAGAGTAATCCTGAGTTCAGTATAAACTCATACAGAAATTTTAAACTTTCAGCAGTCTTTTATAGTTGGTTCGGGCTTTGCTGGCCTTATATATTCCTTTTTCTAGTGGCCACACCTAACATGACAGCACCCTGAATTGAACTGTTTGCAGGGTTTGAATCCCAGAAGACTGGGTTATATGTCTCTGTGAGCTAATGGACAAGGTCTGTTTGCTCAAAGCAGCAGAATAATTATAAAGCTCTGCATAGGCTACCTGCTGGAATAGAACCAAGGGGTGTGTATAAAAGTTTTTTTCATGACAAAGTGCTTTATTGCCATGAGCAGGGGATCTGGGTTTTCCATTTGCCATGGGGAAAAATGCAGGAAAGTGCCCATTTTTGCATTTTAAGGAGAAAACCCAGATTTTCTCTCTTCAAGGAGAAAAACATGGGAAATGGCAGGTTTCCCTTTGCAGGCTGGCAGAGTTCCAGCCTATAAGGCACTGGGGGAGCAGGAGGAGGGTGATCAGGCAGGGAGCGCCACCAGCACACACGCACGGCAGCGTAGAACAGCTCTCCACAGATAAGCCTGGTTGGAGGGAGGGAGGGATTGAGGCTCCCCTAGCGAGGGAGGAAGGAGTGGGGCTGGAGCTGGGGCTGCTGCCCAGCTAGGATGGGGCCTGGGACCAAAATGTGCGGGCACAGGGTCTGGGTGGGGAGTGGGATGGAGCCTCAGGCAGTTTATCTGGGGGGTAGCAAGGGGGCTTTCCAGTGCTGCCCAGACTCCCCAGGGTGTTACAGGGGACACGTTCTCCAGATTTGTGCACAGGGCAGAGGTGGATGTGAGCTTCTTGCTGCTCTTCCCCATGGGGCCTCTGCGTCCCAGCAGGTGGGACTTGGCATGGCAGAGTAGGGCAGGGAGTCTTGGTGCCACCTCCGGGGGGATGGGACAGGAGACACCTCATCATGGCAATGCGAGGCTCCCAGATGTGACACCAAGCCTCCCCACCCCACTCTGCCTTGCTGTTCAGGGTCCCACCTGCTGGGCCATGGGAGAAGGGCAGCAGGGCAGGGACCCCCAAGCCTACAACAGGCATCCTGCATCTGCTGCCACCACAGACTCCACTCCAGCTGTGCTCCACTTAGTGGCAGCAGTCGCTGCCTCCCACAGGCAGCAGCCTGGGCTTGGGTGCTGCTGGGGGAGGGAAGGTAGCTGCAGATCTGGGTTCCTGTCCCTGTAGCCCTAGCAGCTGGGGACCCCCCGCTGGCAGGACTGGGTGCGGGCAGGGGGCTGTAGGTTGGGAGTGAGTGATACCGGCAGGGTTGGGGTGGCTGGCTTGGGAGGGAGGGGCGATGGCATGGGCAGGACACTGGCATGTCAGGGTGGCTCAGCGCCTCAAAGCAGTGTGGGGAACAGCCACAGCTGGACTTGCATCTTGGTGAGCAAAGGAGGTAGGGGAGCTCTGATTTTCCATGATAAAAAACTCAAAATCAAATGCCAACATTTATAGGTATTTATAATTTATTTATTATAGTGATTGAGGCTTCCAAATTGCTTTTAAACTGTAAATATAAAACATTGTGTTCAACTGATAAGGAAGAATTTCTTTACTGTCCGAGCCCCCAAGGTCTGGAACAGCCTGCCATTGGAGGTGGTTCAGGCACCTACATTGAACACCTTCAAGAGTAAATTGGATGCTTATCTTGCTGGGATCCTATGACCCCAGCTGACTTCCTGCCCTTTGGGCAGGGGACTGGACTCAATGATCTTCTGAGGTCCCTTCTAGCCCTAATGTCTGTGAAATCTATGATACCTATATTTATGTAGTGGTGTTTCATTTTAACCATGGAAAAACATGGATTTGGGGTTTTTTGATTGAAGTCTGCAGCTTTTAAACAAAGAAAATTAGGATGCCTGGCCATGACTTAATAGAAGTGTATGAATTTACAATACTTTAAAAATGGGTACATTACTTTAAATTAACCCTTGTTAAATGAGTTACTACATTTGAAGCACTGTATTTTACAGCATTTTAGCTTTACAGTGCTTTTAAAAACTTCTGTATACTGGTCAAATTTTTGACCAGTGGAGAAGACTGAGGCGGTTACAGAGTGCCCCCTTGCCCCCTAACCTGGAAAGTGCAGTGAGGTTCAGAGACCTTTCCCCCCCTTCCCCTCCAAACACTGCACTTCTGTCATATTTAAGAACACTGTAACCATAGGCACCAACTTTCATTTTTGGCCGGGGGGTGGCCAAGATGATGGATGTGTGCCAGCCCCCAGTATGTGGGGAATGGGATGGGTATGTGGGAAAGGGGGGTTGTGGGCACAGGTAATGCGTGGGGGGGGTAGGATTCCTGTGCCAGATTCCTGTGTGCAAAGCAGGGTGTGGGGCTGCAGCCTGGCCAGACCAGCCTTGGACAGGATTGTCTTCAGGGGCTCACTGGGCAGGACCCAGTACAGGAGGGAGCACCACACTGCCTTGTCCATCAAGGTGAGACACCCTCTGGCTCCAGCAGCAGCAGGAGCGCAATTCCATGCCACTTCCGCACCTCACCTTGGTGGCCATGGTGCTCTGTCCTGCACTGATGCATTGCCTGTGCCCCCCTGCCCCTCTCCTCCACATTGCCTGTGTTCCCCCTCCTCCCTGCCACATCACTCTGCCCCCTTGCCCCTCTGTGCTGCATTGCCTGTGCACCTCCGCCCTTCCCAATGTGTCACCTGTGCCCCCTCATCACTCGCCCCCATAGACTTACCTAGAAGGAGCTGTTCTTCATTCACCACTGTTTGGCTGTCATGTGCATGTGGCACCCCCTTCCACCTATAGCCCTCCCTGCTCCCCCCTGCCCCAAGCAGCTCCTTGTAGCCTACAAAGAGAAACCCTTTTTCCCATGTTTTTCTCCTTTAAAGGGGAAACATTATGTAATTTTCTTCTGGTTTAGGCCCCAACAGCCCGCTTCCCGAGGGGAGCCAGGGCCCTCAGGCCCATACATTCTCAGCACCTATGGCTATAACTTTATAGCTGTATAAAAACTGCTGTAAATTACAGCACTGTAAAACGTGTGCAGATCACTCCTGTACACACCCAAGAGCTACTCAAAGAATTGCATTAAAGGTTTTCAGTAGAGGAGGTCGTTTGGGGCACTTTGACAGATGATTTCAATACCACTGTAAGGACCTGTCTACAAATTACACTTAAGGTGTGATTGATTAACCAGCTAAGCAGGCCTTTTAAGTAGTCACGCAGCGACACGTTCAATCACTTAATGGCATGATAAAAAACTTCAAAGTTTTTCCACAAAATATGTGCTTTGTAACTGTTTCCTATTGTAGCATTAAATGAATGTTCTGGGAGCCCTGTCAGCTGATTGGAGCTCCCAGCTGCATGTGTACCCCACGCCTAGGACCTCCCAACTGACAGCTTCAGGCAGCAGAGGTGCTTGGGGTACCCCTGTGGCTGGGAAACTTG